ACGATTTTATTGGATAAATATACATAAATAACTTGGAATTTCATTTTGTGATAGTCTTTTTTATTGGCGATTTAATATTGAGTACATGTACCTATGTGTAGGTACATTGAATATTATTGTAAAAAATAATTTTATTTCATGCAGAATGAAATTCTACAGTTTCGTTCGTTTGTTTATTAATTATACTAAAGGAGATACAAAGTATATGCAGCACGTCAAAATATTTTATTTATACATAATAAATCAGACAACAAAATTTATTTCACAAAAAGAACATTTTTATAGCATTATATTATTAGCTTTTTTAAAAGCAAAAAACACTTTATCGATTTAAAAAAACTAAAAATAAAAATTTAACACATTTTCAATAAAACTTTTTTTAATTATTTTCATTTTCCAAATTGATCAAGATTTGTTAACGTATTTTTGTAGCAGCCTTAAAACAATAAAGCATGCCCATTGAAACTGAGTTCATTTTGTTAAATCTTACAAGAAATACATTTAATCTTCACCTACCACAACAACAAGGGTGTTGCCAGCCTTATTATACGTCATCAGAAATGGTGCATCAAACGAAAATCCCGCTTCAGAATCATCAACAGCATACTTCATGTTCACCGTAAATGTAGCGTTATTGCCATCGTTAAAATACAAATCCATTGTAACTGGGCATTTGGAAGCCCAATGGTTCACTTCCAACCGTCGCTTTATCAAGCGTTTAGCAGGAATAGACGCGCCCTTGAACTTTTCAACCGGGCCACTACCTGCTTCGAAGTCAAAGCTGTCCACGCCTCGAACTCCGACGGAATCAACAGGCGAAAATCTTCGATTCTGAATTATGAGGTACGTTTCTCTGCTCCATGTATACCATGCGGCAGAAGAGAAACCAACTACCATGATAAGGAAAACTAAACTCTGAAGTTGCATTCTGGGGCTAAAGAAAGATGGTAAGTGGAGGGGTTAAAGATTTAGCAAATACTTACGATAAGTGAGATGAGAAACAGAGTTGTTTGTTAATCGTGAGATGAATACTGAAGATGCTGTAGCGAAATAAGGACGTGATTATAATTTTTATGATATATTACTCAGTCCGCCATTGGTGTTTTTCGCCAAGAACTACTGGATTCAAACTTGTTTACCTTATAGTGGAAGAACACTGAATTTTAAAGTCGTCTGTTGCATCAAAAGCAATTCATTGCCTACACGATATTTTTAATTATTTCATGAAACGTGAGTTCTGATTTCATTATACGATGGTTGTTTGGATCATTATAAATTATAATTAAGATACTGGCTGATGCATTATATACACCTGTGGGAAATTGCTGATAATTTCTAAATTAATGGCTAGCAAAATATTTTAATTACTCATTAGAATGCAATGGCTATAGAATAAATTATTATACAAATATTGTGTCATAATAAATCTTGAAAAAAAAACACTAGGAATGAGTAAACTTTGACCAGAGTAAATAACTTGGATGAAGCTCTAAAAACATATGTTTGTATGTGGAACTAAAACTAAAAACTAAAACTAAATTATTGTGAAAGTCGCGTATGTATTGAAACTTGTTTCATATTTCCTATTTCCTTGCTACTCTCCAGACAAATAGACACCTAATTCATCTTCTCTTATTGTTATGTTATCTGTGGTGGCATACTTTGTAGAATAGCGATGCTAGTACGTTACTAGATCAAAAATAGTTAATATTTGTTTTATAGATGAAATTAAATTAAATCGCACATCATCTTACCTTTCGACACTTCCATTTTCTCTGCTACCACTGTCTTTTAAGCACTAGGTCCCAAAAGGGTAGGCCGCAAAGTTCCAAGTTGCTGTACTCCCGAATTAAGACGAAATATTCCCCTCAAAGATATATAGCTATTACAAAATATTTAAAAAGCACAGACAGCTTTGTGATCATTCTGAATTTGTTAAAATTCGTCGTCTTGTTAAATCACAGATATGTCACGATTTTGAGAAATGTACGGTAGATATCAGTAACAGGTTATGTAAAGAACCACAATATTTTTGATACTGATATACTAATATAATGATTCATAATAATACAAATTTCTGCAATCCCTCAGATAATGTTGAAGCTTTTGTTTCTTATTTTCAAAGTGTATACACTACTGATGATAAAAGTCTACAACAAAAAACAGATAACTATCGACATATTAACAGATAACTATCGACATATTAACAGTTCAACATATCCCTTAATAAATATATACAACATTGCATCTTAATATGTGGAAGAAGCTCTGACAGAACTAAAACCAAAAATGTCTTTAGATCTGGACCAAGTACCTTGTTTTGTGGCAAAACACTGTAAGTCGGTGTTTACTACGCCGCTGACGTATATCTTCAACTTTTCTCCAAGAACTTGTACTTTCCCAAATGAATGGAAACTTGCAAAAATAAGTCCAGTTTTGAAATCCGGAGGTAGCACATATATAGACAATTACAGACCCATAGCACTTATCTCTGTTTTCTCCAATTTTTTTGAACTTGTTATACATAATAAGTTATTTGGCTTCAACTCCAAGTTTTTTCACCAAACAAATGGTGTACCACACTGTTCGGTATTAGGCCCCTTGGTTTTCCTTTTATGTGTAAATGATCTAGCAAGCCCTGTTCGCAACAAAACATTACTGTTCACGACCACATCAGGCTACTGCGAAAGTTTAACTGTAACCTACTATACGATCTAATTAGTAACAAAACCGACTGTATTTACTTCATGAATAAAATTGTATTTTTAGTACCTAGATTAAATGTTAGAAATAGTGTTTTGTTTTATTGTAATTTGGGACGAACCAACGTTTGAATTAAGTCAGTGGTACCTGATGTGTATTAATTTAGTTAATTAATTTTAATTTAATTCGTAATCTTTGCGAGATTAATCACAACTCACTTAAATTTATTTCACTCTAGCTGTTACTCGGCCTGCGTTGAAATGCTAATTTACAAAGAAAGTGTGTGCTATGTCGTCTTATTTATTATCTAATGTTAACCGGCAATCGAAATGCCACTGTTGCAGTGGCTTTAATTGTACCGGGCACTCGTGCGCAGAAAACACACGAACCAATAATTGTAAAATGACTGTATTAATTTATAAACCTTGGCGAGCGTGCGAACAACAACTCACCAAAGTATCATCGGTGATGAATGAATGAAGTGGGATTTATAATGTTGCTGATGAAGTTCCCGTTGCAGTTGCTGTTCCCACTGACATTGCTTTTAGAGCTGAAAATTGTTATTTATAAAATCCGTTATCAAGTGGCCATCGATAGTAACTTTGATGTTCACCTTTTGCCGTATCTACGAGTAAAGCGATTATAGAAGAAAAGTGGAGGATTTAAATTGATTACTACAAAAATTTACCATTTTAGACATATTTTAGGTTTCTTGTTGTCGAAATAAGTCTACACATATTAAGAAAAATAGGCAAAATATAGGCCCGCCCACCCGCCTTATCTCAAGAGTGATGATTTTTTTTAATCGTCGAGAGCCAAAGCAGCGGAATTTAACTGTAAAATCGTTATTATTTCTCTACAAAAAATTACCATGTAAGACATGCTCTTGAGTATCGTTCTATTCAAAGAATACTATGCACTTTAAGAAAACATTAAAGCCAAAGATTAAGCCCCACCCATACCTGCCCTGATCTAAATAGCAATGAAGTTTTCATTCGTTGGCGGACCCGGGGGTGGAGCCTAATTGCAAATTCATATTTCCTTACAAAAATTTCCCATTTTAAACGTGTTTTAAGTTTCTAAGAATAAAAGAAATCGTTACAATTGAGATGTGGTCGGTGGTCGAGGTATATATTTTGCCTTTTTTCCTTAATATACACAGTATTCTTTGAAGAACACGATACTCAAAAACATGTTTTTAATTGCTTGTAAAAAAAATAAGTATTTGCAGTGAAGCCCTCTTGGTTCACGGCGAATAAAAAAATCATCACAATTGAGATAGGGTGGGTGGCGGGCTTACACGCTTACGGAACGGCGAAAGGTAAAAATTGGTCATCTCTTTTTTTTTTGTTCATGCCGTAACAGTGAAAAAAAAAGAAAAAAACAGCATGGTGATTTTCAACGGCAACGTCAATGGATGATATAAACGACGCATACTTTTGCTGCGTATTTATCTTACAACGGCAACGTTAACAGTAATCCGCAACGTCAGCGACAAGTTTATAAATCGACCTTTATGTTTTTTATGTTTTCTACCAGTCATAACATAGAATGGCTACTAGGTAATTAAGACTTTATTTTTTATTTTATTAATTTTATATTTCAAAGACATACGTCTCGCATTTCAGAAAAGGTTTATTCGTATTTACTATTATAGGTATATGGGTTGATTTAAATAACCTTTTAATCTTTTAAATATTTAAAACGTTGTAAACAATATATCTTATCTTAGTTTACTTATGTAAAATTCAATATTATATTAGTCACGTATTTAATTCGTAGTTTGTTACTATATATTATAATGGTATTTATTGTCTTTGTGAAATTTATATCCTCTTCTGGACCACCTGCTCTGTTGGATGCATTACTTGATGAATTACTTATTATTACATACTTATTCATTATTCTATTGAGTGATTTTACTTCCCGAGCTAAGTATTGTTTATTCGAACTACTACGAGTAGTTTCGTTTGTTTTCTACGTCCCATGATCGTTATCTCTCTGTTTTGGTCTTGATTTTTATCAGATAGATAATCTCCGAAAGTACCAAGCCGATGGTTATTAAATTTTAGATCTATGTTAGGAATATCGTGTAGATAGTAAAACGATGTCTAAAATTTGTCTAATTATCCCCACCAACATTTCATAATTTTACATAGTAAATGAGATATAAATTTTATAAAACATGCATTTGAAATGGCACTATTGGAATGGAGAGTAAAAGGTTATCCGCCCGTAACAGTGAAAATAACGTACTAACGTATTTTCTTTTTACGTTACTTCTCAGATGTGCTTGACGACCTCAAGAGGGAAAGTGTCAGTGTAAACCATTATTTTATCGTTGAGTCTTATGGAACTTCCGTCCGTACTGTTTCTTGTAATTTCAGCGTGATAATTTAAACAGAACAAGACAATGGTGAGTCGTCACAATTTTTTTTTAGGTTTGTTTTATACAGAATGACTAATACCGCTGACGATATGGTCAATAATTTCCTCCTCCTTAATTAGCTTGACGTAGATTCCGAGTCACTTTATTGGTGCATTCTTTATAAAATATTTCCATTGTAACTGGTTTTTACTCTTTCGCGCACAACTGTGTACATTCTCGGCTACACTATGGTACTGGCACGCATTTATCTTAGGAACTACGACTACCAATATAAGTATGATCTGTCACAGTTATTCTGATTCAAAGAATACGTAGTTACAATAATCAAGTTCTTTCCGAAGTGATAGTCAATTTTTCAAACTGAATGTTATACATGCATATACATAAGCTTGGTTGGTGGAGTTTTCTCTTTTCTTTACAATTATCTAATTCTTTCAATATTTTCTATGCAATTAAAGAAGAACCAAACTAAAAAAAATAGACATGACGGAATTCTAAAGTGTAACTAAAATATGTAACTCAACAATGTCGAATATCAAATAGATCTCTCTAAGCTTTTAACCACAACTGTATCTTGCTTGTAACATGATTTAAGTTTTAATACGTTCCACGTTTGTAAAAGGGGCAAGTGGTAGACCTTTAAAATAAAACCTACCTAATATCTAGAAATCTTGCAGGCCACTGAAGGCAACCAACTTAAATCTCCATTACCTGCAATAAAATGGATATCACAGTCAGAAGATCTGCTTGTCTCCAAAATCTAAGAATCTTAAACCCTTTGACAACTTTTCATCTTGCAAACTTGGAAAAATTGAAACATTCTGTCAAGAACAAGTATTTACAGAATTACAAATAAGTGTAACTATGTTTATAAGTTAGTAGAGATGTTTTTCAATTTTTGAGTGATTGAGGTTGACCATTACGTATTATTAAATCTTATATTTCAGTTATATTTTTGAAGTTAATAAATTAAATGCTGTGATACTCTCATCTAGTGGTTTGAGTGTGTCAGAGCAAAAACAAGAAGAAAATCTGCTAAATTCACTAAAAATAGTTTATTTGAAAAAAAAAAAAGTCACCTTCGGAACAACTCATAAGTATCATTTTTATTTACATCAGAATAAGCGTAGATTTTACGGTCAATTAATTTGGTGTGATATGAGTCAGGAAAACAAAAACACAACTAATAAAAATGACTAGATGAATGCATGTTGTCACAGAACACGCCACATTTTTTTAGTGCGATAGTGTAGACGTTACAAGTTATTCCATCAAATTACGCGGATCTCCACCTGCTTTGAAGGTATCTTTGTGGTCTAATAATAATAATAATAATATAACATACAATGATCAGGAAGAACCCAACAATGTACAAAAAATCTGCAATTAAAGAAATATTTAAAAATTAAATAAAAATAAGACAAAAAAATACAAACATACTAAATAGGTACCAAAAAACAACTAAGGTTAATGAAATACTTAGATAGGTAATCATTTTTTTAGTTAATGGGAATTCCCAGCCAGTTAGAATTTCACGTTTTTATATGACGGGCTCAAAATTTATTAGGACTTTTTTGAATCATGAAGAATTCGTTACACTGCATTCATTAAGCCATACTTCTATTGGTCGCTGTTTTGACATTTTATTCCAGTACTTCGGGAATACCTGCCTGGCCGCAATATTTAACCTCTCACTGTCTCGAACGTTCATAATCTCCTAGCATCGCTCACACTGAAAACTAAACTGTGTTCTAAACATCGTCTCAAAGCTCGACTCAAAGTAAGTTTATTTAGTTTTTTTAAGTGTTTTTAATCGCTTTCCTTTTAGCCGCCATGAAAAAACAAAGAATCTTCTTCATCATTTTTACTTTAACCCTGTTCGTCTCAGTTTTGGCCTGGACTCGTGAAACTCATCTCGTAATAAAAAATTTATCAAAAAATGACATCGTCACAACAGTTGTCACAGAATTCGACAGTTACGATTTCGAAAAAAACAATGGTCCTCAAGATAAGTTCCAAAACGTTTCTATTCCGAGGAATTCTTCAGTGGATCGTCACATTGAGGTGAACCGCTTTGCGTCCAACTGTCCATTTACCATGACGTTATGGTTTTCCGATTTGACGAGCTCGTGGTTCCGGATTAACCAGAAATATGCTATTAAAATGGCGGAACCTGGGTTTTCGCATTCCGGAAACCGTGCCATCGGATATGCGAGGAAACGCAAAACTATTATTATTACTGTCAAAGACAAATAATAATTTGCGCTGAAAAAAGAAGAATTTTAAAATCGAGTGTCATGTTGCTTGGGGAAAATAGTTTTCTAGAAATCTCTGAAATTGTTAAAAGTATGTAAATATTTGCAGTTAAAGTGATAAACACATGTGCAAGGAAATTGGCGAAATGGTAATGAATACGTTTAAGGTATCTTATCACCTATCTGAGTAGGAACAGATTTTGAAAATATATATTTTTGTCGTAATTCTTATTACCAAATGTGAGTTTAACCTTTGTAGTAATGCGTCCCCAACAATGTGCTAGGTACTCTTACGAATTATAATAAACAGTTTGGATTAGTTTTTGTTGTAAGAAAAAATATTCAACTGAACTAGAACGGAAATATTATCGAACTGAGACAAGGGGGAAAATTGCTGTTCTAGCAGGAGATGGTTTCCTGGACCCTGCAAAAACCCAAAAACAAGGAGCTAGTGGGTGACCATCATTGCAACCACCAGACCCCGGCTCGAAATTTTATTTGGGAGTTTAGAATTTGGAGTTCCTGAGAAATTGGGTTTGGGACGTGACACTTTATGATTTGCTGTGAATAACTGTAGACCATTTCCACTTTCACACTAGATTAAAGGATTAAACAAAAAAGGCTAATTTTATACGTGGTATACAAGATAGGATGTCAGAATTGTGATGAAGTGTATATTGGCGAGACAGATCAATATTTACAAAAAAGATTAGATCAACACAAGAATGAGGCAGATTCAAAAAAACAGCGGTAAAGGCACACTTTTATATAAACAACCAGAAGTTCAAATTTGACGAAGCTTCAATAGTGAATAGGGAGAAAAATGAATTCAAAAGAAAAATCAGCGAGATGCTTCACATAACAATTGATCGAAGGTTGTTTCGCCAAAGCGTCCATCTCCCCTGAAGTACAATGAAACATATCCAGCATTTTCGAACAATTATAATTATACTGCAAATATTATTTTTTATGAGAACTCCTATAAGGTGAAATAAACATATGGATGTAATGTTAAACTCAATGTAAATAAGCGTGCTACGCGTATGTTTCAAATGAGTTTTTAACTTTACAAAATTATGTGATGCATCATCAACCTATTTGTAAGGACATGTATATCAACTTGAAATAGTACACTGTAATAATAACAGCACCTACTGTATTCCGAAATCATATTTTATATTTTTTCGTTTATATTACTAAAAAAGGGTGTTTTTTGTTTTAAACTATTTTTTTTTTCATTAAATAGTCTTCGTGTATCATTGATTGTATGCTTCCAATGTATTGACACGGTATAGAGATCATTCAGTAGGGAGACGGAGTAGGACAACTCCTGTCGGCGCCTTTGATGGGTGGTCGTTGCCCATTTCTAGATGTCGCCACCTAATTTAAAAAGTATCACAATCGCTTCATTTGAAAATTTAAAAATTGATTCCTGTACACAATTTACTACACTTTATGCAAATGAATTTTTGGAAAGGAATTAAAAATAGTGTAATAACAATAACATGTTTTAGTTAATTTTAGAAACCGCACAGTCTACTGATATAATAAATAAAGAATGAAGCGCCCTATGACAGAAATGCCGTGTTGAAATTCAGATTTAGCTCCGCTTCTCTGATAACGATTTTACGTTTTATTAATTTATTTTCCATGTCTTAATGGCTATAAAATTCAACGTTATTAGAAAACACCAATATATGTTTTTTAGAATATCTTGAGAAAATTACATTCAACTGAAATATTTTCACCGAAAGAGCAGCCTTAAACCATCAAAACCAATGCAATCTTGAATGCAGGTAAACTGCCAAATTTCAAATATTTCAGACTAAAGTCACTAGATAACCAAAGTACCGCAATTCAATGTTCCAATGTGTAAGAAAGAGAAGTACCTTGCGCTGCGCGCCCTCAAGACAAACAACCATCCATGAAAACGGTTCACTAAAAATAGTGAGTTGTCCCTACTCCCGTACTACCTAAATGATTTCTCGTGGTATTAATGTGTTTTTTAAAACTAGTGGGAATATCAAGATCATAACCGCATGTTTGTAATGGGCTGTACGACGCGAAACGCCCGTGTGTCCATTAAAAACCCGACATCACCCCTCCCCACGTTGGTGACTATAAAAAGTTAGGTTATGTTAGTAAATGCTGTCATTAAAGAGTGCACCAACGCAAAATTGAACGATTTTTTATGGCAAAAAGGAAGCATTTACACAACATTTGAAGATGAAGGCTGTGATCAGAGGGTGCTGTAGAAGAGTTGTGCGCAAAGGGTTTGTGCGATATCGAGAAGTGCGTTTTGTAAAATTTTACCATTTTTAAATATACAGACCAACAAATTTACAATATTGTAAATTGGCCTGTGGTCAGAGAGATTTTATAAGTAAACCAATTACACAGGAAACTCATAGAAACTACAGATTATGTGGAGCACATTTTGAGGACTGACTGTTTGCAAATTCACAAAAAAAAACTTAAACTTTGATGCTACACCTACCAAGACACAAACAGGTACAATATGTATGTTTTGTCTCTTTTTGAATTACTTATCAAAATCGTAACATTGGAAGATTGTTGAGCCATTGTTCAATAATGTATATGTTGTACTTCACAAATTTCAGAAGCTTGTGGAGTAAAACTTCATATTGAGGAACTAGAAAAACATGCAGCTGGCCAACAACAACAAAATCCTGTTGAAGACGGAACCACCATTTCAACAAGGGAAACTCTTCGACACGTGTCCCCTATACCATCTACATCTAGAACGACTCCAATCATCGACGCATATCCATCTCAGGATACATCGTCTTCTGCAAAGAGGACGGTGGAAACACAAACTGGTATGTCGTTGTCTTCTGGAACTCCCAGAGAACAAGCGCTCCGACGTCAACTATGCAACGATAAAAAACAAGACCGATTAGAACAAGAAAAGAGCAACGAGAGAGAACAAATAGATACATTTAACCAACTGTGCGATATTTTACTGCCACAAATTTTAGCCACTATTGTTAAAACTAAAGTTTGTTTACACGGTCAATCAAAAACACAACTGAGATACCCACAAGAATACAAACATTTTCATTAACATTATTTTTTTGTCTCCAATGGCGTATAGATTTTTACGAATCACTTTGCTATTATCCTACTGTTACGACTTGCAACGCATGATTGAAAAACTTCACATCAATCCAAATTTGAACGATGTGATGTTTTCACATCAATCCAGATTTGAACGATGTGGTGTTTGATATATTAAGAATTAAAATAACAACAAACAAACAAAATAAACTAAAGCATGCGTATTATGTGCTGATGAATATTAAGGCAAATTTGTTTTACGACATCGCCAATGATGATATTATTGGTTTCCATCAAGTTGAACTTGATAGAAAAAAAATCCTGCCCGCCAACAATATTCTTGCGACTACGGCTTGAGATATATTTGACAACTAGAAGCACCGTTGGGGTACGCTTTTGTACACACCACTTGTAAAGCAGAAGATTTGAAAAATATTTTGTTTAGCACAATAAACAAACTACAAGCAATAGGGTTGAGAGTTCTGGCATTTATTTCTGATGTTGGATCAAATTTTTTAAATTCATCAGAAATATTAAGCGTAACACCTGGAAATCCTTTCTTTACAATTAGTGGAACAAATATTCAGTATATTTTCGATGCCTGTCAGTTACTTAAGGCATTGCGAAATATTTTTCTTTACTTAGGTATTTATTTGTGTTGCCTTCTAGTGAAATTGTGGACGGTAAATTCGTCCAAGAGTTTTTTGAATGTGACTCAACGTAATACGCGATTCGCCCCAAAATTAACGTTCACATTTATATCCAGGTCGCTTTGAAAAAATTAAAGTAAAACTGTCTGCTCAGTCACCAAGTTGTTTGTGGAATGAAAACCGAAGTTGCCATCACCATTTTACCCAAAACAGCAATGTCCGCAATACTATTTCCTAGTAACATAAATTAATTTATTTGACATAATCAATTTTACAGGAAAAATCAATATTAAAGCGGGTCTTCCAAAAATTCCTCTGTATAAAATACATGCAGCAAAATGCAACTGGTGACTGTGCTACTGATTTAGCAACAATTTCATTTGCTATTGAAGATATCCCCAATTTAAGTGAAAGGTACAACATTCTGACCATAATTAATAATTCTCACTCACTTCGTAATGCCCTAGAAAGAGATGGGACAGAGTAGAGAGAATTTGATTTAGCTGAACAAAATGTCTTACAATACATATGTGGATACTTAGTGAGTAAGTGCTTAAAACAACACTCTTGTCATATATGCTATGGATATGCAAATACATGTGGAGAAATTATAGAAACCACATTATTATGTCATTTCTGAGACTACATTTCTGAAACTTTACCTTATGACAATCTTAATGTTCTACACGAACAATTTGAAGAAACTGCCTTAATTAGTTCATTTGTACATAATGCACTTCTGCTTCAAGTTGGTAGACGTCTTAAAAATCATCTGACTTTAATAACATACAATCATCCATCTAGTAATTTCCCCCATGATTACCTTTTGTCATTATTTGTACGATTACGTATATTTTATACATTGAAATTCCATAATAGGGAACTACAGAAGCAACCTAGAAAACAAAGGAAATTAATCATTTTATCCCATTTATAGAGCATTTGTCAACGCCATCGGTACAATAATTAATTATTATAGGTGTATGATTTGTTTAACAATTCAAAAATTAAAAAAACACCACCTGTTGAATTAAGTTGGTATCAAATAAAAGTCCTCTAGGCCTTATGAAAATGTTTTGAATGAAAACCATGATTATCCCAACCTCATTATTTGTGACAGCACATCTTGGCACCATAAAAATCTCCCTAGGTAATGTCGGTTAGTTTTCGTACTATGTTACCCATTGAGTGGTCTTTTAGTTTTTGAACAGATAATACTTATCAGTGTTATTTTTATGGAACTACTCCTGTACTTACCAACAATATACTGTTTGTTAAAATTTACATATAACTGTAAGAAATGCATACGCAATTAACATGACTTTTCTTTTATAATTTGAAACCATCGCATCATATTTAATTGGGGTTATTTCAGAGTTCGCGTTTTTCGTTTCGTTCGTGTAACGTTTAGTTTTAGTAATACATTTAGTAACATTTAACATACACATTAGGACATTTGGGTTCACCAGCACAAATTTTACGTTCTCAGCGGTCCTTTACGTCAAATTCTGTGTTCACTTCACTGGCATGTGTCTTATGGAAAATTCAAAAGCTATCATATCTCTATTTTCTAGGTCATAACCTCATAACTATGAAATTATTGTATTGTCATTGGTTCTTGATACGTGTGTAAAATTTTAAACCATTCGGACTTCTGGAAGTGGTTGAAAATGTAATTGAAAGATTCTAATACATAGATTCATAGATGAAGCCAATAAAAGAAGGTTAAAAAATTGATCGAAGATTATTTCGACAGAACTTCCCTCGCCCCTGACGTACCGAAAATGAAACATGTTCAAACATTTTTAACGATTTTGATTTCTTCTCCAAAAATCTAAATGTCTGGGGTATAAATTCAACACGGATGAAACGTCGAGAAAACCTGAAACTAGCGGTTCGTCAGATGGACCCTATTACAATACTTCCTTAGCTTAAGGTCGGGAAGTAAAAAGTGTGCTCAATATGTGAATAACAATCCTACTGTTTCTGGTGGTTAGAAAATACCTCTCTTGAAACGGGATATCTATCCAATAGTTTTAGCGCAGGCGGTTCATGTTTCTGTTAAGTGTTCACTGTTGAAGTATAGTACAAGCAGCATACCTATGTTATGACATGGAATGCAAAAAGTTAACAAAAGGAAATTGTATAATCGTTAATAATACCTAATAACATTTATTGCCCAACAGAATAATTTCCACTTACAGGACAATATAAACCTAAATTTAATTCAACCCAATAACACTAAATAAGTATTTAACCTATGTTATTAAAAATTACATAGCTTAGCTAAAATTGGCTAATTATATAAATAAGTACTACCTAAATTTATCTTTCAAACACTTTTTCAGGACATTTAAACTGCAACCAAAAAGATCAATCTTGTTATCTCTTTCAAAGTTATTTAAACTTGAATTGATTACATACAATGAATGTTTCCTGCCTAAATTAGTTCTTGGCATTTTACAGTAGTGTAACTGAAGTTCTACTATTAAGCCTAGGGATGAAAAAACATGTGTAGCCAAGCAACTCTCTACAATCTATGATACAAGGTAATAATTTATAAAAGAAATTATAGCAGCAAAAATACGCCGACTATACAATGAATTAATATTAAACCTAACTAACAATGCGTTCTGTGAGCAATTTCTGTCTGGCCATCGCGTTTCTTGTGTAAAAAATAAATATTTCACAAATCGGCGTTGAACTGATCCAAGCATGTTGATCTAGTAATTTTAATAATGTACAGTAGGGGAACGAGGGGCTTGTTGTAACAGTTTTTAGGAAAACGAGTATAATTTGGTATCTATTAGCTGTTTGACCATTATAAAAGTATCAATCGGTAGTCTAACTATTCCCCTATTGGACTGAACAGGCAAAAGGTCAAAATTGTTCATCTTCACTTCACACCAGACATTTTCTTAAAAAAAGTGCATTGTTACAACTAGCCCCAACCACGGGGCAAGTTGCCATGAGACAGGTAGTAACAGTAAAAATAAAGCTGATGTTGCTATATATTTAGACTTTATTTTTCAAAAATCAACACAACACTTCATTATATACAATTTTTTTTCAGTAAAACTGAAATAAACTTTTAGAAGAAGAGTCAACATTAAAGATTTGAGTTTTGTCTTCCTTTTTCTTAATATATCTGGAAAGCGATATATGGAATAGGTCAAAATTTTGGCTCGCTTTTCGTATGCTAGGTACGAGATTTGTAAAAGTGAATTTGGGATAAGTTGTAACATGTTACAACTTCCCCCAAGGATATTGTTACAACATGCCCCGTAGCACACTTTTCTACATTTAATTACATTTCGACAAAATTATGTGGCTTAGCGTCGAAATGTGTAAGGAATATCAAAGCTGAGTAATTTTTGAGCTACATGCAAAACTAAGCGTTTTAAATTAATCAATAACTGATACGATAAACCAAATTTTACTAAAGCAATATTTTACATGACTTGGCCAAAACGAAACACGTGCACACATCTACTCACTGCGCTGGCTGAAGGAACAGTGGTTGTTATGGCATGATGTCTTATGGTGCAAGAATTAAATTCAGTAAAAAACCTGAAAAGTTTAAATTCCGGGTAAAAATTTAGTGTTACAACTTACCCCTGTTACAACAAACCCCTGGTTCCCCTACTAGACCTTTAGAGTTTCTAAACTGACAAAATCTTAGCAATTTCTAACAATAAATCCTAGTAATTTTTTAGCATTGTTTTTCCTTTGCTTTTTTACGTATGCACGTGATCTATATTATTCTCCTTTCGCAAATTTAATATCACTACTGTGATACCCCAATCTTCCCGCCTTGAAATTTGACCTTGAAAAGTTTGAAAGGCCCGCGAAAAATGTAAAAATTCAAAAGTTTGACCTTGGCTGTGATCGTCTAACAAATAGGAACCTACGTTGTGTGTTGTTTTTTTTTTGTTTTTGAAAAATGGCGGGAAGACGTTCTTTCATACAAGTGAGCATATACTGCATGCGAGTTGAGAGGGCAAGAAAGAATAGACAAAATTAGGGAGGTCGAAATCCTTTCATAGGAGGAAAAAGAAACGAAGTCAGCTTGCCCTTCTGGCGACTCCGCAGTGTCAAGGCGTCATCGTCCTTCATTCCCAAAAACCCCTTGGGGTTTTATTCACCGAAATATTACATTTCAAACACCTTAAGATATATGAAAGAAAACACTCGCGAATTGACAGACATACACATATGAAAAACGAACAAACGGAAATTCTATACATATGTTTGGAATCAATGCAAATATTTGAATATCACAAGTTTAATAAACAAAGCAAAAACTGAATCAAGTAACTGGATGCAAATACACAAGTTATTACAGGCGTGTGGCGGCAGATCCTTTTTTTTAAGGCAGTTAACAGGAGCACAACGAAAGTACCCCTGGGGCATTGTAGCATAAGCGGATTCTGGGCTACCGATCTGGAGCTGTTCTCCCCCCACGACGGTGATTCTATCTATCGCACAGCCTACCCCACACGCATATCTCCGTTACGAACGTGCCCTGCGGAACTAGGCCATTACGGTCGTCCAACCCGCAAGAGATCTAGGCTAGCACGAAGTCTAGAAATTTACAACATCGGCGGCCGCCCCTGAATCTATCCAAACCTGTGGATTTGTACAGGTGACACGATAAATCTCGCCAGCTCGACTAGGAACCGAACCTCGCTTCTGCCACGTTTTCTGTGTCATTTAACTTCAATTCTATTTTTAAATATTCAATCTCTTATAACTCTGATGTTAACAAGAACTGAACAAGTGTTAAAGTTTCAAAGAGCAATAAACAACATTTAGATTCGCCATACAACCTTGTGAAATTTTAAACAACAAATAATTCTTATGTGAGATTAAAGTTGGGCATCAAATAATTTATATGATAGAAACATTCATCAACAAAGTATTTACAAAACAAAACTTAGCAAGGATTTATGAAACAGAAGATCTGGTGTGAAATAAACTTGTACAAATAGAAATATTATGTGAGGTTAAAACTGTAGAACATGAAATTTACGTTCAATTAAAATTATACAACAAACAAAATTACTGAGGTTAAAATTGTGAGGTTAAGAAATATTGTATGAGGTGAAAATTTGCAGAGTTAACAAAATTTACAGGAGATTAATATTTGCCACACTTTATCAACGGTTCATACAAAGAGTTTACATTATGCCAAATTATATCAGGATCTAAATGATGGGTTACTTCGAAAATAATTTACTTTGAGAGTTTAAAATACCGCGAACTGGTTACCCCAACAAAACACATAATAAACAAACAGAAAAATATCCAATCATCGCTCCGAGGGAAAAAGCGTCTCGGTGATGTACATTTTCTATAGCGTTGGGGGGCATGCCTTGATTAATTAATCAATCTGGCGTTGTGAAGCATGCCCCGATGAATTAATCATGAAACGATGATAAGCACCTAAGGGAAGAAAATATCATAACCCCCCCGCCAGTTCGCAGTATAATGAACTTGTTAAACAGCCGTAAATGAACTATTAGCAATCTTGTGTGAAGAATTTAGAAGTGTTATAATGTAACACTTGCGTATATGCATCCAGAGACCTATTCGTAATTAAACATAAGGCGTTTTTCCTGACTAATAAGTGAATTTTATGAAATCTTCTAGCAAATGGTTTATTTAAATAATCCTGATTATTAAATTGTGTTTGCTATAGCTGAGTATTAAGAAAAACTATCTTGATTGGTGAATTTACAAACAATGAAACAAAATTTACAGCACGTGTTCGCGTTCGACCGGAAGTCCGCATTTTTCTGATTAAAAGGGCGCAAGAATTAACCGCGCGGGTTGGGGACAACTGTATCATTATGAAAAATACGTTTGATCGTCGTTAAACAAAGGCTTCCTCCCGTTTTATTAACTACCAAACCAACTAATTTAAACCTAGCGCTTAACGTGGTTACACTCACACAGGCACATTCATAATGAATCATTCTACGGCATGCAGCTTCCCTCTACCAACACTCTAACTGAAATCACCCTAGCGCTACGTGCTGCCATCTAACTCAATGATCATGCATTAACCCGACATGTCTATTTGGTTGCCTATGTTTAGCGATTCCCTTTTCGTGATTGAATTTTTTTTTTTCAAATTCAAATTATTCAAATGTGATTTCGCGCCGCTGTTAATTAATTTCAGCGCGAAAACTTTGATTTAAATTCGGTCACCACATTACTTTTGGCCAATAAATAAATAATTATTGGAAGTGTCCCCTTTTAGCTGACTCACCCTGTGTAGATATATATATAATAACTGAACTTGTATAACGTTGCAAATAAAAAGAAAATAGTTATAAATGGACGTTAAAAAAATATATTAATGTATTTATTACTGTTTTTACAAAAGTTTTTACGTACAATAAAAACGAATACAAACTTTTTATCGTAAACAACTATAAATATTACATTACTAGTGTGACTGACTTAAAACAACAAAGGTTAAATTCACATTCTCTAATAGGAATTAAAATGAAATTATTTTAAAAATTTAATACACTCAGTGAAGGCAAACTGGTTTTGTTTCGAGTTAAGTGATAAATTAAAATTTAATTTATTTAAAAATAATAAAAATATTATTCACCATCTTATCAATGTACTGACTTCTTCGCATGCTTATTTATCACATCAACTAGCAATCTTGAAAAATTTGTTTGCAAAAACATTTTTCCTTATGCGAGTTACATTCTATTTTAAAATTCTTGTTTTTACAACATAAATTATTCTTTGTCTTTCACAGTAACGGTAAGAGTTTTGCCTTTTCTCGAAAAGCTTATTGTCCTGTTTCCAGAATGCGAAAAATCAGGTTTCGCCATTTTAATGGCAAATTTCTGGTTAATTCGAAACCAGTCGCTCGTCAAATCGGAAAACCATAACGTCATGGTAAAGGGACAGTTGGACGCAAAGTGGTTTACCTCAATCTGATACTTTACCGAAGAATTCGTCGGAATAGAAAGATTTTGGAGTTTATCCTGAGGGCCATTGTTTTTTTCGAAATCGAAACTATCGAATCCTGTAACGACTGTTGTGATAATGTCATCTTCTGAAAAATTTCTTAATCTAAAATGCGTCTCGCGACTCCAGGCTACAACTGAAACGAACAGAGTTATGGTGAAGGTTAGAAAGAAGATTCTTTGATTTTTCATGGTCACTAAAACGAGAAGCATTAAAAAATGTGTAAGAATATGAACAAACTTACTTTTGGGCAAGCTTTAGGCGATGTTATTTAAAGTACACTTTTGTTTTATTGAGAACAAAACTACATCATAAACGTTCTAGACAGTGGGATGTTAAACATTGAAGTCTAGCAGGTTTTCCCGACTCAGTCAGATAAACTGTTAAAATACCGACCAATGTATTGCGAAATATTGTTGATGAACGCACTTATTATACAAATTCTTCATGACTCAAAAATAAATCGGTTGAACTGTTACACAAAATTCTTATTGCTTGGAAAAACCAATTACTAAATTTAAAAAAATAATGCTGGTATTTCATCATAATTTTTGTTATTAGAATTTAGAGTTTTTATCAGAATTATCTGTTTGGTTTTTGTGTTTTTTTTTTTTTTTTTTGTAGCGGTTTTTACATACCTTTGTCTATTTATATATATTTAGATATACATTTTTTGTTTTATTCAGAGTCGCAAATGTTCGACTATTCAACTCATTCACTACCTCTTTTTGGTGCTAGATATGCAACCAGTATTATTCGAACCTGTCAGTTCCCGAGGTAGATCGGCAGATGGAGCAGCCAATGATCTAATAAAGCGCAGTGATCAGAAGAATAAGAGTTACTAGTTTATTGCTGCTATGAAATGGATAATAATTGCAAATAAGTATTGGAATTAAGATGGTTTCTGTGTCCATTTCGCATCGTTTTAAATACGGAAAACAAAAAAATTGGTCGAAGGTTATTTCGACAGAACTTTCCTCGCTCCTGTAGTATAATATAAGTATGAAAGATATTCAGGTTTTTCGAAGTTATAAAATTTCATTTTGCGAATTTTATTTTTTTATGAGAACCCCTATAAGTTAAAATTAAGATATGTATGTATGTAACGTTGAAGTAAATGTGAAGAAGCGTGGTACTCCTATGTTTCAAATGAGTTTTACCGTTACAAAATTTTACGATGGCATGAATCGTTATTGATTTAATCAATAAAATAAATTGCCTCATTAATTTTTTTTTGAGTCACGTGTATAAATAATTCTAAAAACTATGAATGCTTGATAAACCACAAGTATAGTCATAATATTTTGCTTATTTCAAGACGATTTATTCAGCGAAATTTTGAGATGACGTAAACAATTTTTTGGGAAGGGATAAACAAATAAATTTTGATTAACGATTTGCCATGATTAGGATTAACCTTAAGATTTGCAAGATTTTCAGTTTTGCAGTTTTATTATTATGTATATTTAATTTTAAATTGCAAAATGTTATTCGATTTTAACCAAAAATTCAACATGTATTAATGGAATTTATGGTTTTATAGAATTTAAATTATTATAGATGATCGCACTGCTTTTAAAATACTGGCGACCGCGTGTCGGCTTTATCTCTCAAATATAATTTTTAATGTAAATATACAAAAATTTTCACATTAAATTTACGTAACATTGTTTATAACTCATGTTTCGTATATCTTGTTTCAAATGATAAGTTATAATTTAAAACATTTGTTAAAAAATAATGGTATATAAAAAATAACTAGAAGGAAAAATACATACTAAATCCATTTTCTTTTTCAAAATACGTAGTAGTTTGACATTTTATATTAAATGATATAACCACTCTGAGTTTCAGTAGCAATTTGGATTTTCATTTCTCGAGCGAAAATTAAAGAAGTATTGTAATATGGTCATGTGGCGAATGACTACTTTCATGTTTTCTCAACGTTTCATAACCCTTAGAGTCAATAGAACAAATTATGTTTTAATTGTAAAAAAACATTTAAGAAAGCCTAATGTCTTCATTAACTTCATTCTAACTACATCAGAATTTCTTGTTCTAGAAAATCAAGTCTGTATTTTTTTATGGAACTTTGGTCGCATACTTCCAGGCATAGATGTGTGTTTTTTTTCACACTGAACGTAGGGACTTTAAGGCATGTTCAGAGTTAAAAAAATGTACTGGCGATATACCTATATACATATATTTCATTCATAATTATCGCATAATTATATAATAATAACAAAAGGAAACAAATTCGAACACAAACGCTAAATCTCTATCAGTCACTTATAATATTAACATTACCCTCATTATTGACTACATTTTCTACTCTGTCTTTTTTCTTTTTATCAAAACTAACATTTCTAACCTGTCCACTTAACTTCTCTCTCTCTCAATTTTTTCCAGGTTGTTTTTCACTACCAATAACTGATCGTTGATAAAAGTAATACTACTATCAAATTTCTTATCATCAGAAGACCCCTCTTCAAACTTGTTTTTAGCTTGTGTATATTTCTTCAAAACATCTTCATACTTTTGTTGAGTCATTGTATAGTCGTTCACCGTTTGAGTTCCCTTCGCCTTTTCATATAAATTTGAAGCTTCTAGTTCCAGACTAGCAGCTTCATTAAACAACTCATTTCCTGCAATTTTTAATTCAACCAGCCTTAAACTATCTTCAGTATTCGTCTTAATGAAAATATTTTTTGCCTTGTTAAAATTTTCATGAGCTTCTGTCGATCGATCTTCATCTTCGTTATTTTCTAAAAGCCATCCTTCTTCATATAAAGATTTTCCGTACTGTCTCCAGGCTTCCAGTTTATTATTATTGATGGTTGTATAAATTAAGCTTCCTTCCACTAATTCTAAAGCCTCATCGAACTTTTTGATGGCTGCTTGATACTTTTTCTCTTTGAGTAATTGATTTCCTTCCTCATTTTTTTGTTTAGCTTTGAAAATACGCGTAGCTTTAGCTAGATTTCTTTTAGTTAGATCAATCGTAGACATCTCGTTCGATAGTTGATAAGCTTCTTTAAATTTTTGGATAGCCGTTTCATACTCACCTCTTGTAAAAGCTTCCTCACCTTCTGTATTTACTTTTAAAGCATCGTCATCTTGTTTCTTTTTATATAAAACTGTTCTAATTGCACTCTTGTTCTCTCTGATCTTTTCGGTCGTCGAAGTTTCGTTCGCTATCACCAAAGCTTCGTCGAATTTTTTCATAGCCACTGTATATAATTTTCGTCGAAAAGCGTCCTCTCCTTCTTTAATAAGTTCTTCAGCTCGAGCATTTAAAGCCTTTTTCTTATTAGATGTAATATCCTCGCTCATTGATTTTTCGGCCACTTTCAAAGCTCCATCGAACTTTTTAACCGCACTTTCGTAGTTTCCTGTCTTCATCAGCTCTTTTCCTTCTTCATTTAATTTATTCGCTTTATTTGAATCTTCTGCTTTTCTCAGATTTGAATTTATCGTATTAATTGTGGGGCTTTCATTGGCCAATTTTTTCGCAGCTTCAAATTTAAGAATTGCTTCCTCGTACATTCTTCTTCTCATCGCTTCCTCACCTTCTCTATTTTTTTCTTCTGCACTCTCATTTTCTAACTGTGAATTTGTATTCTCAACAGTTATAAGCAAAGTATTATGGTCACTTCTTCGGTAGTAGATCTCGTGCGATTTTTTAAAATGTTGAAAAATATATTTATCCGTACAATCCAAAGTTGCGTACCTTTGATGAACCCGGATAACATCTTTCGTGCCATCGGAAAACTCCAAGGTCATGGTAAAAGGGCAATGGCTGGCTCTTGCATTCACTGTTTCGAGTTCTCGAATTGAGCCTCCTTTTCGCCAGACTTTACGATGAACCAGGTTGTGATCTGGGCGATAATTTCCATCCCAGTCGTAATTATCTACTTCAGAAATAGAAGTGTTGATAATATCTCGATTCGTGCTATTAACTAGCTCGAAGTAAGATTCTTTGCTAATTTCTTTGCCCATTTTGAGCGAAGTTGTGATTCAGGATGCACTTACTGTTGCATGGTTGTTCCAGTCGTTCTATATATATTTAAATCATGATATCATTTGTATGCGGTTTATTGTTTACTAGTTTAGTTTTGCAAAGCGAAGGTCAAGTTATAAAAATATTAATGGTGACAGATAGTTGAAAATCAATATGTTGTTGTTTTTACCTACTAACTGTGATAAATTAGTGTGTGTTCTGTTTTCAAATAAACTTTAATTGTGGCAGAAATTCACCCTACTCTGTATGACAAGGAAACAAAGATACAAACCCGATTATACTGTAAAATAAAAAAATGTGTGTACTTTTTTGGCGACCAAATTTAAAAAATATTTAGAAATTTTCGACAAACATGCTCAAACAGGCTACTTTCAAACGTACTGTGTTCTGGGAGAAACGATAAAGAGCTTGCGTTTTGACGAAATTTTTTTAAGAGAACTCTGAGGCTTCATTATAATAAAATCAGTTAAATATATTTCCACGCATTGTAATTTTCGAGGCAACCTACGCAAACGCTTCTAAAACAATTTTTTATTTATTTATTTTTTTACAAATTTATTTCTGTGAACAATAGATACATTGCATGAGAATTATTAAAAAAAAAGAAACAATTTTTTACTTCATTAATAAAGTTACATTTAAACTTCCACACTAATTTTAAACTTCCACACTAATTATTCCGGTAGTTCAGAAGGTTATTTGTTATCTGCACGTTATCTGTCAACAGACAGGCGACCAACAAACGGTAAGCGTATTCTACCGATTCTACCGTGTGATTTTTTAAATTTCTGATCATCACTCTTGTAATATTCTTAGGTGACTAGCTTAGAAATTTAAAAAATCACCCGATCCAGCTTAAAAAAAACTGCCATTAATGTCTAAAATGGGAAACTTTGACTAAAATCAAACACTTTTAATTTTAAGTAACCTTGTAACCACAGAGTGTACAAGTTTATTAAAAACCGTTATTGGTATTGTAATTTCTTCGCATTGAAAAAAATAAAAAACAATAAAATCAACATTACTTGATTCAGAATTATACATTTAAAAACACATACCTAATTAATATACATATTTTCCGACTAATATTCTTAGTTTTTTTTTTTTTTTTAATAATAATGAAAAAACTTTCAGAGTTTAAATAATATATTTGTAGTCACTGCTACACGTGTTTCGGTACACAGTACCGTCTTCAGGCAGAAGAGAAACTGGGGTTTTACAGAGCTATTCCTGAATTTATACCTGATTTAACAATGGTGTTTTTAAAATTTATGTTAAGTAAGGGAGATTTGTTTATTTCGGTTTGGTCGTTCATTAGTGTATTTAATTTATTGTACCTATTTATTTCCAGACATTCTAACGCGTTTAATTTTGCTCCTTTATTTTCTATGTGTAAAATTTTGAATTCGTCGTTGAAATTATGCTGTTCTTGGATAAGGTGGTTCGCGTACGTAGAATTTGATTTTTTGTTGACAAATGCTGATTTGTGTTCTTTTATCCTTTCCTCAAATTTTCTCCCTGTTTGTCCGATGTATACTAAGGGGCAGTCACCACAACTTAGCATGTAAACTCCAGAATTCGATTTCTTAGGTGACTTGTCTTTACTATTGTTTATTAATTTATGTAAAGAATTGTTGGTACGGAAGGAAATTTTATAGCCTGCATTTTGCAGTATTTTTGCAGTTTTAATAGAAAGTTTTCCAAAATGAGTTAAAATGTTATATTGATTGGTTTCTTTAATTAAAGGATATATTAATGCTGATGTGATTTTTTTAATTTTCTTTTTTAACATATTATCTATGATCTCGTCCGAATAACCATTGTTTTTAGCTATTATTTTTATTCTCTTAAGTTCGACCTCAAAGTTATTTTCAGATAAGGGGACAGTCAACAATCTGTGTAACATTGATTGATATGCGGCTAATTTGTGACTCCAAGGATGTAAAGACGTTCTATGAATAGTAGTATCTGTATGAGTAGGTTTATGGTAGATATTAAATTCATGGTAACTCTTGTGGTGGCTGATTTGAAGGTCCAGAAAATTGATAGTTTTATTGCTTTCTATTTCTATTGTGAATTTTATTTTTCTATGTAACGAATTTATGTAATTATGTAGCATATCTAATTGCCTACTTGTACCGTTAAAACACACTAAAATATCATCCACATATCTAATCCAGTAAATACAATGTTTAAATAATTTATGTTGTGAAATAGAGGTTTCTAATCTGGCCATAAATATCTCGGACAGCAGAGGGCTCAGAGGGTTACCCATGGCTAGGCCATCTCTTTGTCTGAAGTATTTACCACCAAACTGAAAGTAATTTTGTGATAAGCAGGTATCAAGTAATGAAAGAATTTCGTTCATTATAACCGGGTTAGTGTTTTTGGAAAAAAGGTCTTCCTCAATTATGTTAATTACTTCTGCCGGTGGAATATTGGTGAATAGATTAGTCACGTCGAACGAAACTAGTTTACAGGTAGATGGTAGAGTAATAGACGAGATCTTGTTTATTAATTCTTGTGAATTTTTAACTGAAAATTTAGAATTAAACTTTAAATTATCTTTGAGGATGGGTATTAGTGTTTTTGCTAGTTTTTTACAAGGCGCTTGAGTATATGATACCACGATGATCAGCATTTGTCAACAAAAAATCAAATTCTACGTACGCGAACCACCTTATCCAAGAACAGCATAATTTCAACGACGAATTCAAAATTTTACACATAGAAAATAAAGGAGCAAAATTAAACGCGTTAGAATGTCTGGAAATAAATAGGTACAATAAATTAAATACACTAATGAACGACCAAACCGAAATAAACAAATCTCCCTTACTTAACATAAATTTTAAAAACACCATTGTTAAATCAGGTATAAATTCAGGAATAGCTCTGTAAAACCCCAGTTTCTCTTCTGCCTGAAGACGGTACTGTGTACCGAAACACGTGTAGCAGTGACTACAAATATATTATTTAAACTCTGAAAGTTTTTTCATTATTATTAAAATTAATATGGAGTTTAAACACGTATCAGCCTCATCAATACAAACATAATATTCTTAGCCTTCAACAAGGCAAATTTTGATGTCCGACGTAGAACTAACGCTCTTGTCTTACCTTAATTTTTTTGAGTCACAATGGCAATTCTAAAAGATATGAATGTAATGATGAATCACAAGTATATAGTCTCATATTTTACACATTTCGGTAACATTTATTCGGCAAAATTTTAAGATAACATCTTTTTTTTTTGAAGAAATAAACAGACATATTTTGATTAAAAATTTACCTTGCTAAAAAATTTCAAAGCATTCGATTTTGCAGTCCCTGAATTAATCAATAAAATAAATTGACTTATTCATTAATTTTTTTGACCCACCCTGTGTAATCAAATATAAAAAAAGTGGTCCAAAATTATCTAGACAGCTTCTCTCGCTTGTCGAACAAATGCAGCCTCTCTGAAAAATTTAATTTAGCGACTTTTACTTTTTTATTACAATCACTACCAGCTTATAAGTTAAAATAAAGATGTATGCAGGCTATTAAAATACAGGTAAAGACGCAGGCTCTGTATATGTTCTAGGCGAGTGTTCCCATTACAAAATTTTATGATGACGTCATCAACTTTTCTGCAAGGTGTATTAATCATATTGAGTCAGCAAGCAATTCTCAAAAAAAAATTCAATTATAAATCACAAGTTTAGCCTTATCATCGTCGTATTTTGCACATTTTAGATAGGATTTATATCGACACAATTCTGAGATGAGGTCATCAACTTTTTGAAAGACTAAGGAGATATATTTTGATCCAAAATTTGCCATACTTACGATAACTTTAAAACGTCCGCAAGATTTCAGAGCATTCGTCTTTTCAGTTACAATTTTGCTTTTCTTTCCAAAAATCTTAATGTCTCGGGTAAAAACTCAACGCGGATCATAATATATATGTATATAAAATTTGACAACAATCGGTCCAATAGTGTCGGAGATTATCTATCCAACAAAAATCGACACAGACGGCGGACAGACATACAGCCGAACAGGCAGATGGAAATGGGAGTCCTATTTTTTCATACTCTAGGGGTCATGACACCTAATTTCAATTGATTTGTACAATTGGTTCTCAAGATATTTAATCGTTTCCATACTTGCTAGCGACCTTATATATTTTAATCTGTTTTATATTAAAATATAAGTAGTATAGTAGTATACTAATTAGAGCCATTTGAATCGTTATAATAAAATAAAAAGTGAAAACATCTTTCAAATTTTTATTCTTCAAATGGAACTCAATGGGTATATCTATAAAAATTTCATAAATTACCGTTTAAAGTCAGTAAAAGTAATTTGTTGGTAGAACAAGCCGTACATTTGTGTGTTTATGTAATTTATTTTTAAATTACCTATATTATAACACAACTCTTATTTAATTTAATAAAAAACTACAGTCCGACGTCATACATGGTTAAATACATTTTAAATCAATCGACAATCATGTTCTTTTATGATCCGTCAGCTACAAGATTGACCTCTGTTGAAGTGTTATCAACAACATCTTCTCTACCACTCTTTTTTCTGTTAAACATGACCTCCCGAACCAGTCCACTTAACTTTTCTTCTTCTATTTCCTGAACAATTCTTCTCACTGCATCAATTTGCCTCCCCACGTAATTAACATTACTTGAAAACATTTCATCATTCGAAGCCCCTTCTCTAAATTTCTGTTTCGCTTTTTCATACTGTTTCAAAGTTTCTTCATACTTCCGCTGAGCAGACACATAATCATCAACCATGTGAGTTCTTTTTGCTTTTTGATGCAAATTTGTAGCATCGTGTTCTAAAATAACGCCTCTATTAAATAGTCGATTTCCTGCCATTTTAAGTTTGACAAGTCGTAGATCATCTTCTGAATTTGTTAATTTGAAGATATTTTCTGCTTTCTTAAAACGTTCTTCAGCTTCTTTAGACATATCATCTTCTTCGTTGTTTTCCAAATTCCATGCTTCGTTATACGAAGCTTTTCCGTACAGCTTCAAGGCCCGCAGCTTATTATTTTCGATGGTTGAGACGAGTGAGTGTCCTTCTGCCAGTTCCAAGGCCTCATTAATTTTTTTTAAAGCAGTTTCGTATTCTTTTTCTTTTAATAATTGATTCGCTTCTTCATTTTTTTGTTGCGCCTTGTGGATATTTGTAGCTTTAACTAAGTTGGTTTTGGCGAGATCCACAGTAGACATTTCGTTTGATAGTCGATAAGCTTGTTTAAATTTTTGGATGGCGGTTTCGTATTCACCTTTTTCGAACGCTTCCTCACCGGCTCTGTTGGCTTCAACAGCCCTTTCGTTCTGCTTTTGCCTATATAAAATAACTCTGAGAGCATTCTTATTTTCCATAATCTTCGTACGTGTCGATGGCTCGTCCGCTATTGTCAAAGCTTCATCAAATTTTTCCATTGCATCATTATAAGATTTTCGACGCATTGCTTCTTCTCCTTCATTGTTTATTTTTTCCGCTCTAGCATTCACAGCCTTTTTTCTGTTACTTACAATGTCTTCACTAATCAATCTGTCAGCCACTTTTAACGCTGCATCAAACTTTCTAATAGCACTCTCATAATGTCCTTGTCTCATCAACTCCTTTCCTTCCTCATTCAGCTTACTCGCTTGATTAACTTTTTCTGCTCGTTTGAGATTCGTTTCTATCTTATTAATCGTCGACTTCTCCTTCGCTAAAGTCTTTGCGGCCTTAAATTTTCGAACCGCCAACTCATACATCCTCCTCCTCATGGCCTCTTCTCCAACTGTATTCACTTGCTCCGCTTTTTCGTCCACCAGCTGATCTTGTGTATTCTCAATGGTAACACGCAACGTATTATCACCAACCCTCTTGTAGTCGATATCATGGGACTGCTTGAAGTGGTGAAAAACCTGATCGCAACAGTTCGAAACGGCATACATCTGATGGACTCGAAAACCATCTTTTGTACCATCGGAAAATTCCAGCATCATGGTAAATGGACAGTGGGCTGCATATCCACATAACTGCTGTCGTTCTCGAATGGAACCGCCTCTTCGCAACACCTGTCTACCTTGCAGATTTTTATCTGGACGAAAATCGCCAATCCAGTCATGGTCCTCCACTTGAGAAATGGAAGTTCCGGTGATATCTCGGCTGGTGTTGTTGATTAGTTCAAAGTAGGTTTCCTTGCTCATTTTTTTACCCATTTTTATAAAAAGTAAATATGAGCTGGTTACGAAGATTTTTTTAGTACACGCACTGTAAAACTGTTTGTTGTTGTTATTAAAATCGTACTGTATATACATTTTCTTATCATTTGTGGTTTCCTGTTTTTGATTTGTTTTCTTCACGATGAATGTTGTGTTAAAAACAGAGTTTGTTGATAGGTGGTTTGAAACAAGTGTTGTTGTTTTTAGTGGCGTTTTGTAAAGTTTTGTTGTTATTATTTAAATACTATATATTATTTCTTGATTTAGATAAAATTAAATCACTGTGTATGCACATACGAAGAAGTGTTTCTGTCTTGAAAAAAAAAATAGGTTGAAGTGTGTGATTGTTGTCTAATCAAAGGTATGCAAAAAATAAATTCCATATCTTATTTTTTTAACAGCGGTTTTTATGTCTAAATGAATAAATTTTTAAGTTTAAACAGGTAATTTTATTTTATTACACTGCTAAAAAGTCAATTGTATTACAAATTAAATTTCAATGTAGTATTTAACAGCAGCTCTTAATTACGATTTTCACTATAGATTACGTAAATATTTGAAAACTATCTTTTTGAACTGAATTATTGTATGATGTATAATCAAATACCTGTAGCTTAGTAAATATAATTACCAAAACTTTTTTCATACAAAGTTAGTCAATAAGCACGGTTTTCTCGACATCTCAATAATTTTTAAAGCTTAAAGCTTAAAATATGGAAATAGAAATAAAAGCTAGAACAAAATTACTCTGTTCTTTAAGCAGCACAAACTACAATTATATCATTTATACAGGGTGCTGTATTCTTGAGACGCAACATAAAACTTTTTATAAAGCACTGTATTTTTACATGGTCCTAATTATCTTGTTCTTAGGCTTTACAACCATATTATTGAAATTTCGATGTAACATTGACAAATTTTATTTTTTTTTAACTATCCAAAGCTGTAGAAATATTTTGTCAGATTGCTTTGTTGAGGTACCAGTAAAATCAATTTTTAATATACAGAGTAATTTAGAAAAAAAATTTTAAATATTAAAAAACATGCTTTAGTTTTTTCAAATAGAACATCCTAGATTTTATTAATGTATCTCACTCTGTTTTTCATTGTTTTTCTTTCGATTTGGTATATTGATGAGTCTATTAAACAAGTGAAAAAATCCCAAAAATTTCCAACGTTACATATAGAAATTATTTAAGAAAAAAAAGAATAAGTTGCAGTCATAACATATACTAAGTGATCTATGTAAAAAAAAGACACTGCTATTGCTATGTGATAATTATATTTTAGAATTTTTTATAAAGATTTTAATAAGCTAACAAGTAATTACTGAGGTGATACTGAGAAAATATGTACAGATGAAAATAAAAGACGGCTTACGTAAACACTATTTCTAAATATTAATATTCATTGAATTAAACACTGTGACCGGTAATGAAAAAACTCAAGAAACAAAATATTAAAAACTTAAAGTAACATTTTACTTGCTACGTATAATAAAAATGCCTAGGGAAAGTTTCTGTCACCAGCAAAATTAGTGATAATTAATCTCTTTGTATAATAATAGCGTTTATCCGATAAAAAGCATTATTTATTTATTAAACATTTTCTTTCACTAACAATTGTTTATTATAATTATACTCGTAATTCATACTCTTCATATACGCATTAGATTAGATTTCAATTAAATTACTAGTATTACTAACTATTTATTAACTAAATTATTTCTAATGTTATTAAATTGCAAAAATTGCGTTTCAAAATTTTGAGCTTCACACATTCTTTAAATAATAATTCTTGGACACAAGAGAATTTTTCTACTTCATCAGTTCTTTTACATAATACATCTTCTTTTATCTATTTAATTTTTTAAGAACATTATTTCTCCTACAATTTGTTTATTTTTTAATCTCATACCTGTTTCAGTGCGCCTGCTTTTAGTTTCGACTTAAAGGATCTGCATATCTCGTTAAATTTTTGGCAATAAAAGCATTTATTTTTAAAAGTTTGTGCATAAAGCAAAATAAACTGTTCATATGGGGCCAAACGTTTAAATTGTAATATCTGCAATATGTATCTACAAAAAAAAAATATGGTACACTTTCTAGGCTCATTCATCTAGAACGGAAATGCAAATTTTCAATCTCTTTTAACGCTTCTTTAGATCTTAATAAAAAATTAACATGTGTTGTGAAATTTATTTATTTTCTGTTTTTTTTTTCGCTTTTTTTTATAATAATGTTTAATAGTGCCTTAATAAGTTATAGTTGTTTTATCACTTTTTATCGCATTTTTAACATTTTGTTGCCCACTTTTTTTGTGCCATTTCTTTTAAGACATTTTTTTGGCGCATTTTATTGCTACATTTTTCTTTGTTTGGGTTATCCATTTTTTTCGTTTCTTTGCTTCTTCGTTTTTATTGTTTTTTTTGTATTTTTCTCACTTTTATTGGCTTTTTTTTTCGTTTTTCCCCTTTTTTTTGACACTTATCGCATTTTGTTCGTCTTCTTTTCTTTGCTTTAGTTTTTAATCGACTTTTTTCTTTCATGTTTTCTTTTTTGTCGCCTTTTTTGACATTTTATTGCCTCCATATCTGAAACAGTTTTTTTTGTAATATTTTAGTCGTTTTTTATAATTGCTTAGTTTTTTACTACCTTTTAGTCGTTTTTTTTTTACATTTTATTTTGGCGCATTTTGTTGCCTTTTTCTTTCCTTCAGTCGTTCTTCGTCTTTTTGTTGCCTTGCTCCATTTTTATTGCCTTTCTTTGTAGCTTCTCTCCGGTTTTATTTTTGTACTTTTGGGCCGTGTTTCTTTCGCCTTTTTTTTAATATATTTCTAATGGTCTTTTTTCGTTACGTTTTTGTTGCATTTTGCTACTTTTCGCCCTGTTTTTGACATTTTATTGGCAACTTTTCTTTTGGGGTTTTTTGTTTTTTTTTGACACTTATGTTGCATTTTTTTGCCTTCTTTTTATTGCGTTATTCTTTGTCTTTTTCTTCCAAATTCACTTTGTGACTTTTTGTCGCCCTTTTTTACATTTTATTACTACTAATACTTGCCAAAATAAGACTGATTTTGCCAAATAGTATACCTTCTACCCTTAATTTTCTTAGAGAGTGGATCATTTGCCAAAATCAGTCTTATCTTAGTAAGAACTAGCCCCGCCCACCCACTCTCTCTTCTCTTGGAAGGTATGTGATTTGCCAAATTTAGGCTTATCTTAGCAAGAACTAGCCCCGCCCACCCACCCTTTATTTTCTTACAGGCTATGCTGTTTGCCAAAACCACTCTTATCTAAGCAAAATTATGAAACTCAAAAATTTTGAAAATTGGAAATCAAAATTTTGAAATGTTGAAGATCAAAAATTATAAAATCGAAACAATGAAATTTGGTTGCTTGTAAAGATAGAAAATTGTAAAATAATTAAACTGAATAATCAAAAATTTGAAAAATGAAAAATTTTGAACAATTTAAAATCAAAAAATTTTCGATATTTAATTTTTCAATTTTTCGATTTTCAAATCGGGGAATTTTTAGTTTTTTGATGTTTTAATTCTTCGGTTCTTCGTTTTACAATTTTTCGATTTTCCACTTTTCCTATTCAGTTTTTCAATTTTTTCCGATTTTTTGGTTTTCCGACTTTCAATTTTTCGATTTTTCAACTTTTCGATTAAAAAAAATGGAAAAATTACAAAATTCTAAAATCGAGAAACCACAACTGTAAAAACGAAAAAGCATAAAACGAAAACTTGGAAAAATTGAAGAAACCAAAAATTCAAAAATGGAAAGGTTGAAAATTGAGAAACTTAAAAATCGAAAAAGTGCAAAGTCGTAATACATACGTATTTTAAAATCGAAATATTAAAAATTAAAGAAATTGGAAAATCGGATAACTGGAAAACCAAAAACTAAAAAATTTGAAAATTGAAAAATCGGAGGAATAATAAAGGAAATGATAAATAATACGAAGAACTAAAGATAAAAATCGAGAAAATAAAAATAAAAAATCTGGAAAATGGAAAAATCAGGAACTACAAAAATTAAAGAAACAAAAAATAGAAAAATTTAATTACAATTTTGCTAGTTTTCGTTTTAAATATGCAATATGTAATAATAATTTTTAAAATTCACTATTCTAGTTTTCGGTTTATTCGATTTTAAAGCTTTTTTACTTGTTCGATTTTTCAATTTTTCGATTCGTAATTTTTCAGTTTCTCGATACTCAATTTTTCCATTTTTCGAACTTCAAATGTTACAGTTTTTCGACTTTACAATTTTGACGTTTGTATTGTTTTTCGATTTTACAATTTTTCTACTCGTTCTTACAAAGTTTTGAAACTCTTAAAATAGTTATTTTGTCTATCGAAATTAATCCCGCGCGCGTCAATATTTTATTGCACATAATAAATAAGATAATGATAGTCGGAGATAAATAGAAGGATATGATCGCACGATGGACTCGACATTGTAATATTAAATCCCGGGAGCGCAAGGATCAGTGTTTTTATTTATTTTTTTTTTTTTTGCCACAATCTAAACTAAAGCCTTTAATACGAATTTATTGTGTGTTAAATTTGTCGGTATTTACGTTTTTCACAAACTACTTTCGATCCAATTTTTTTCTTTGGGGTCCTAGTGTTTCCGGTATATTCGCGTTATCAATTTTACCACTTCTTAACTTTGTTTATAAAACCTGCAAATATTAACACTTTCCAAGTAAATACGTTTAAAAACATACAAATACAAATATCCAATTTTATATAAAAAATATTTTCTGCATATTTTGCAAAAATTTATTAATGACTTGCGAGAGCGGACAGCTGTTTCTTTTTTTTGTCGGGGCGTTTCTCAAATTAGCAACTTACATAAATAGAAGCATTCAGTTGTGACATTTCAAAATTTTGGGAAGAGTGCATCCAGATGTTGGAGGGAAAGAATAAATAAATTCAAAATTAAGACGTGATAACTAACCTTAAATGATTTGCAACATTTCAGTTTCACAGCTCTACTCTTTCATATTAACATGTACTGTGAAAAACGTACCTAAATTTTCAATAAAAAAAATACAATAAAAACTGGAAATGCTATAAATAAGTTTAGAATGTTGTTAAATTTACTTCGTTTTTTAAATATTCATAATAATAAAAGTAACAGTGGGTGCAATATTAATTTAGTAAATTTACGTATTTACCTTCAAATGTACCAGATAAGCCAAATACAACTGATCAAAATGCTAATAGTGTTTACTTAAACAGTCGACGTTCTAAAAAAAAAGGACACAGAATTTGTCTTTATTGTTGCATCTATAAAGATGATCAGACCATAATATATCTTTTAATTTTAGTTCCAAACATAAGAAGCAAGTGGTATAGTAGACTCGACTGGTTATTCCCTAGCCGTATTCTAATTCTATGTAAGTAGCACTCCTAGTTTTTAGACGTTTTGTCCACAAGAAAACTGCACTGCGTTTATAATTTTGTTTAATTCTTTAGTTGTAATAAAAAAAATCTAGATACTTTATTGATTTCTACATTTGGTTCTTTACCAACGGAGTGGTGTCATATATATGTATATATACGCAGATGTACATGATACGATGATGTGTTGAAAGTGATGTCACTTCATATGCTTCAGATGACGAATTTCCTTCAAATTAAAAAAAAATTAACAAAAGAAATCCACCGATTCTGTTACGTCATTACGATTTCCTTCCTGCGCAACACACATTTCGATGCGATTTAAGCAAGACAACCTGACGCGGGCAAGTATTTCAGGAGTTATTGCAGCACATGCATTGCTAATTCTGGTTTTCAAATCTTCACAATTACGAATAGGACTTTCGTAAACTTGTTCTTTTACAACCCCCCAGAGGAAGAAATCTAAAGGTGTTAAGTCGGAACTACGAGGGGGCCATGCATTCACACTGCCTCTGCCAATCCACTTATTTGCAAGCTTCTCATCAAGATAGTCCCTAACTACTCTGTGATAATGAGGTGGTGCCAGGCCTATTGAAACCACAGCTCTTGTCGAAGGTTGAGAGGAACATTTTCTAATAACCCCGGAAAATCATTTTCCACAAATTGTTGATAACTGTGTCGCGTTAAGTTGCATTCGAAGAAGTATGGGCCAATTACGTAATCTGCAATAATACCAGCCCATACATTTATGGAATAAACATTTTAAAAATGAGCTGTTCTGATCCAGTGTGGGTTATTTTGGGAGTAATAGTGACAGTTGTGCCGATTAACAATCCCGTTATTGCCAAATCTTGCTTCATCGCTGCACAAAACTTTGAATAAAAAATTGTTGTCCAACTCTATTTGATGTTGCATAAAATTGCAAAATTGTATTCTTCTGGGAAAGTCTTCTTCTTTTAAATCTTATAACTTGTACTAATGCCACATGGTAAGAATTGCAAGATCACATTTAATAATTTTTCAAGGATTTGTTGAACTGTACTTCAGAGGCAAGGGAAGTTCTGTCGATATAAACTTCGAGTATTTTTTTAAATTGTTTTTATACAGTACTGGTGATAAACTCCTGCAAATATTTTTTAAACAATCCACACTTGATGAAAATATGCCGTTCTAAATATCTGGAAAAATCATCCTCTTGGATGTTAAATATTTTTTCTTGTTGTCACTACATTTTTTATTACTTACATTAAATTTTAATTATGCAAACAATAAAATAATGTTTTCAAACTGAAAAACCAATTGTGTCAATAAAAAATAAAATTTTCCGACCCCTGAAAAATCATTATAATTTCCCATTATTAAAAAAATTAAATAATTAATTTAAAAAAAGTTATTTTACCCTTTAAAAAAATAGTAAAACCATTTTTCTTTACAGTTAGATTAATCCATACAAGATGCGCCGCTTCGAAATCGCAAAACGACGAAACAACCACCAGGAAATCGAAATTGCCGCCAAACCACCTCCAACTATAAGCCTGGAGATGGATGAAACCACTCTCCATAAACTCCTGTCCGGAGAACCCTTCGACAAAGACGACATCACAAAATGTGCAAACAAACTTTTCGAAAAATACAACTTCGACTTAGATCGACAATTCAAGTTAGCAGAAAAAATCCAGGATCTGGACAATCGTTTTGACAATATCGAACTTCAGACACACCAGCCCATCTTCGTAGTTTTTGCTAAAGAGGAAAATCGTTGGGTTCTATTTTGCCTAGTGCAAGAAGAAAGCAAAACAATAATTTTGTATAAAGATCCTTGCGGAGTTTTGGTCTCTTATAAGCTTGAAAATAAAATCAAACAAATCTTTGAACAAGTGGAGTTTATTTCGCAGACGAAACAAGACCAACATGAAGACGAAGAAAGTAGCTACGGCCCACTGACTGTGCGAAATTTGGAAATAGTGTTAGGATCGTTTAAACAAGACCCAGATAATTTTGTGAAGAAATTTAAGGAGATGGAGTTTTCACATTCGAGAGACTTGGATGATTACAGACTGAATGAAGTCGTTCAATTGACAACGAGGTTATCAAAAAATGATGAATTTAAACGAGATTTCAAAACGTTCGTCGATAATTTACCTCTAGATCTGAGCCTCGAGATGATGGAATACAACAATGTTTTAAAAGAAGAAATTGGTAAGGAGAAAATAGATTACGAGAAAATTTCACGGGTGAGGAATACTAATTTGAACATTGATAAAATCAAACAGTTTGAGAAAGAATGTAAAAAAATCATGAAGAAAAAAGAAGGTACACCAACTGAAGACTATGAAGCAAAAATTGAGAAAAAATTTCCTAGGGAAATGCAGAGAATGAATGATGTTTTCACAATCCTAGGCAGTCTCACTGTCAACGAACAGTTTTATACTCTTCTTCACAGCATTTGTAGAATTCTAGATATCGATTACGACAAGTTAGAAAAACTGTATAGACTTAAAAGTAAGAGAGAAGAGAAACCCATGGAAAAGAAGAAAAAGAAACTTCCCGTAGAAGATATTGACGCAATCGAGAAAAAGACTGGAACACAAAAGAAAAAAGCTGGTGAAGGTGACTGTACACGTTTAAGTAACACAAGAACAGAAACATCTTTAGAGGATTTGCTTCAGGAACTTAATCTAGGAAAGGATGGATCGGACGTTCCACAAGAGGCACTTCTAAAACTAAAACGTAAATATAACTTGGTTAAAGCAAAATACAACAGTTGGATGGCTACTGATTTAAGAAGTATAAAAAAATGGGCAGTTGATAAAAGAGGTTACTTGGGAAGCGATGATGATGAGATTTGTGAAACTATAGCGATAATGGATAGAGTATTTAATTTAACGACACCGAACTGGCGATTCAGGATTCCCCAAATACTAACAGTTTTAATTTTCTTGGATTCTAAGGATAATGGTCGACTTTGTCAAATTCAAACTGGTGAAGGTAAAACTTTGATAGTCTCACTGTTAGCAGTTATCAGAGTACTTCAAGGTTACACCGTTGATGTTATTACCAGCAATTCAGTTCTAGCAACAAAAGATAAAGAAGAGTGTCAAAACTTTTATTCAATTTTTAATATAACAGTAGCCACTAATAATCCTCTTGACGATAAGATATGTTACGAAGCTGACGTTCTTTATGGTACTATCAGTAATTTTCAATTTGATTATCTACGAGATACTTTCGAAGGGCATAATATTAGAAGTAACAGGAAGTTTGGACAGGTAATTTTGGATGAAGTTGACAGCATGTTGATTGACAATGGGGGCCATATTGCTAAACTTGCCACGCCTTATCCTGGAATGGAAAGCTTGAGATACATCTACATCAAAATTTGGCAAGAGCTACAAAACGCGGAAGAAAATTTTGTTAAAGAAACTGAAACTAAAGCTAAAGAATTGCTCCAAACTTATTCGGACGCGGATGAAGCAAAGCAACATTTTGAAAAGTTTTTTCAAGAGATAAACAAATCTGAAAGAAAAATTATCAAGATGAAAATCAAAGAAAATCTGACCGAAATTTCTTTGACTCCAAATCATTTAAAAGATTACGTTACACGAAAATTGGACGTTTGGATCAAGAATGCCCTCCATGCTAAGTACAACTGTCACGAACACAGACAATATCGAATAGTTTGTGACGACGGCGAAGATATTATTACGCCGGTTGACTACATGAATACCGGGGTAACAATGAGGAACACAGTTTGGTCAAACGGTTTACATCAATTCGTCCAGCTCAAACATAACTTGCGTCTTACTTTCGAAAGTCTCACTAGCAGTTACATATCGAATATTGGTTACATCAAAAAATATAAAGATGAAAATATTTTTGGAATGACAGGCACTCTAGGTTCCTCGGCCGAACAGAATCTGCTCTCAGATATTTACAATTTGAACTATGCCAAAATTTCTCCTTACACGAAAAAAATTTTCCAAGAGCTTCCGGGAATAGTCGTTGATGATGACGAATGGTCAAATTACATTGTTCTAGAGATTTTAGAGAATATTGACGAAGGAAGAGCCGTTTTAGTCATTTGTGAAACCGTAGAAGATCTTCTCGCGGTTGAAGGCACTCTACAAATTTTTGAAGAAGATCTGAAAATCAAAAAATTTTTGAATGAAGACAACGCTCAAGAAGCGAAAAAGAAGGTAAAAATTGGCGACGTAATCCTCGCTACGAATATCGCAGGAAGAGGTACCAATTTTAAAACGGACGCTTGTTTGGAAAACAACGGTGGTCTTCACGTTTGCGTAGGCTTTCTTCCGTACAATCTCAGAGTGGAAGAACAAGCTTTCGGAAGAACATCTCGGCAAGGCAATGAAGGAACCGCGAGGCTGATCATCAGACAAAGTGAGGTTGATGAGCTTGCAATAAGCGAAGAAAAACCTGACTTTACTCAAATTAAAACGGAGAGAGATCGTTTAGAAAGAGAAAGGTTGCAACAAGTGGATAATGTTCTTCTTAAAGAAATCATCTTCAAAGACAAAATTTTTGCCCGGTTTTCTGAGTTTCAACGAGAATGGAATAAAGAGAATAAAGGACGGGCGAAACAGTTTGTGCTCCAGGATTTGAGAGAGTGCTGGGCTTTCTGGTTAGACAAAAAAAACTATAAAGCAGACAATATCAAAAACGTAACTCCAGAAGAGGAATTTGAAAACTTTAAAAATGAAGCTCGACCTATCATTGAAGGAGAAATTTCTCATAATCCGTACTACAGTATCGCTTTAGCTGAAAATTTTCTGCAAGCAGATGATACAAATGAAGCCTCGAAAAACTTAACGCGTGCGATTGAGTTAGGTGGATCCAATAAATTACCAGGAGCTTCTTTAAAACTTTTTGAAATTGCGCTTATTGATAATAACGTTTTTTGGGAAAAACTTAAAAATGCCATGCTTAGATTTATTTTGCTTGATTTTGGCGGCACAAAATTTTACAAAACTAAAGCTAAGGTTCTACTAAATCGTGCAAAGGACAGCATCGAGAAGGAAGTAGCACACATTGACCAACTTCTTAGCACTGAGAACATTGATTTCCAAAAAATTGTAGTTCGAGACAAAAATAATCACTTTTTGGAACACATCTACTCAAGACTTCATTGTCTAAAATTACACCAAGATAACATAGAAAACCTATTAAAACAAATGAATGAATATGCGGGTGTCACCATCGGTGGAAAAATAGCCACAACTATTGAGAAAATCAAGGAAATAGATTCACAAGGAAATAGTATTACAAGTCTTGAACTAACAGAACTCCACTTATCGGGAATTGATGTCTTTTATGATCTAAAAGAATATCGCGATGTTCCAGAAGAAACTCTTCGCTTAGCACAGGGCCAGCTGGTTGCAGGTTTCGCAGCTCTAGCAGTTGGTATTGCGTTTCTTCCAATATACCCAATAATGCAAGCAATTGCCTCCACACTAATCTGCGATGGAATAATTGAACTCGTGATAGCTGTTCTTTCCGAAGACAACGAATTTAATCTAATGGAATATATCAAAGACAAATTTATATCTTATTCTATAGATATAATCACATTTGGAGTTTCTAAAATTTTTAACTGCATAAAAGTTATTAAAGCTGCTCTTAAATTTGTAAGAAAAACTTCAAATTTTTTGCGCAGGAGTACCTACTTAAAAAGAGTATTCTCAAAACTTGCAAATAAGTTAGATGATTTTGAAAAATTTTTGAATACGAAGATTCTTACCATCAAATTTAACAAGTTAGACAAAGTTGATCAGCTCAAGAAACTAAAAATGTGGAAACAAACTGATATAACTAAGTTTCATCGTTTGAACGGGACTGAGAAGTTACAGGAGTTGCTACATTTGAAAAAAATTGGAATGTTAAAACGGTTTAAAAGATCAAAGTTGTTAGGAGAGTTTACCAAAAAAGTTTTTCGCAAAGTAGGAAAACGTATTGTAGGCATTATTACGGAAAAATATGTTATTCGGCCTCTGTTTAATCTCGCTTTTGAAGAAATTTATAATAAAATTAAAAGAGATCTTATAAATGCAACTGAAAGTAACGCTAACTGTCTTGAAAAAATTAGAACAACACCACCTGCAGAAATCACAAAAGTTGTAGAAAATTTTCTAAAAACAAATGAACTTCAAGATGTATTCGAAAGATTCATTACTGGATTTATCAAAAAAGCTGATACCATCTACATGGAATGTTTACTCTTTGCCTATAACTACACTAAAGGAAATGTTATGATCATCTATTTAAAACAAAATTTTACCACATATTTAGAAAGAAGATTGCAAGGGGGCGAAAATAACAACGTTGTTGATCCATTAATAGAAACAATTTGCTCACAGGTTGCCGATGATATTTTTAATCGGTTTTACGACGTTATGAAAACAAATTTCCAGTTTGGAAAAAAGGTTCTTAAAAAAGCTTTAGCAAAGCCAAAAATAACTGCAAGTGAAATAGTTCACACTCCTGCGGTAAGCTCTGAGGAAAATGATAAAAAAAAATATTACACAGTTTTGGGTCTTCAAATGGATGCTACTGTAGAGGACGCCGAAAAACAGTACAGGACCTTGACAACACAGCTTCACCCTGACAAAAATCAAACTGATCCTGATGCTACTAAAAAGTTCCAGGCCTTGCAAGATGCGTATGAGAAAATTCTCCCTAAGGAAGAAATGAGAGAATATTATAAAGAACTAAATCTCAAAATGAACGCTAATTTGAAAGATGCAAAGAGACAGTATTGGAATACGGCCATGAACGTTCATCCTAGTCGGCACGGCGATGATCCTGAAATGGCTGAACAATTTAAAAAGGTGAACACAGCTCATAAAAAAATTGTAAATTACTTAAAGGGAATTGAAGAAAATCCAGCAACTACTGTGTTCGTGGTCAATCCTGAAGGCGAAGTTACTACACAAACAGAATGAATTGTTTACAGAATTTAGTTTACTATTGCTGTACTACGATTAACCGCTTTTTTTCGAGGAGAACGTTTCTACATCTTCTCAGTGATGATATAAAATTAGAAACCACTTATGACTAATTTTTGTACTTTAGAGATCACATGTGATCAGTACCTCAAATAAGTATCTACAATAATGTAATAAATAAATTTGATTATATGTGTTTCCAAAATGACTAAAGTCATGGTTATTTTGTTCCAATTGTCAGTTTTTATTAACATTCAAATATATTGCCTTTTGGATTATTTATGTTCTTTAAAGTAATACCATCCATTTGACGAATACTTTCGTCCAGAAAAAAAAGGCTTCTATAACAGGTCTTTCTTCCTGTCTGTATTTCTTTTTATTTCCTGAGCGTAAGCTATGGAACTAACAGGAACAACCTTAAATTCCAAATTATGTGAAATTTAATTCAATACTTGCCATTTTCATGTATTCTCGACGTTTCATGACCCATAAAGCACGGAAAAAGTGATCTCCCGTTTCCGTTTGTCTATCTATCTGTCTGTTTGCCTGTCTGGTGTCTGTCTGGCGTCTGTGTCGATTTATATTAGACACGTAATCTCCGAAACTACCATTTTCCCGAAAATTTGGGAATACTGTTATTAATATTAAACTGCATCTATCAAAACTGATATACGTGTCCTTGCAAAAATGTTGATGACTTCATCATAAAATTTATTTGTAAAAAAAGAAACTCACCTAAAACAAAAGCGAAGCATGCTTCTTTACCTCTACTTTAACGCAGCATACCTACATATCTTTATTTTGACTTATAAGGGTTATTATAAAAAATAAAATTCGCAAAATCGAATCTTATAATTTTTAGAAAAAGCTCGATTTGTTCTACTGTACTTCAGGAACGAGGGAAGTTCTGTCGAAATAACCGTCGACAATTTTTTTCTCTAATGGCACGCAGTAAAGTAAATTACTACATCGCATACCTCCTAATTAATACCATCAAAAAGACATTAAGTACCAACACGCTTACCTACAGATTGAGACTGGGTGAACACAGTAACACTAAAATGGGTGCGGTGATAATGTTTGCATTTAGCTAGTCACTTCGTGGGCCCAATTCCTGTGGAGGCCGGACCTGGGAGTTGGGGATGAGACCTATGGGTATGATGGTAAATCAGTCAGCAGAGTTGAATGGCAGCAGTGAGTACCAAAGTGTCGTCTACGCACAATTTTGGTGAATATCACGTTTTCCTCATTACATATTAGGTAAATATGGTGAGGTTTTATTGCACAATTAGCACTCTGTTTTACTCTGTTTTTTAAAGTTAAGGTTAAGGTTACCAAAACGGAAATTCTTATCTACGAGTTATATTTTAATAACTTTAATACAGCCTCGTATATAATTCGCAAATTTATTCGAAGGACAATAATTCTTAATTTATGTTGGGAAAACGTGAAAAAAAGCGTTGGCAGTTGCGTATTTATGTCGCGATCTGGTACTTTTAACAATCGTGCTATTCGCAGTTTTGTAATAGTACTCGTACATCAGATAAAAATTAATTTTGTATTTCTAGAAATTCTAAATGTAAAACTTTGTAGGCAAATAATGATACTTACATTTTTTTATTTACTGTATCCAATTTATTAAAAAAAATGGATATGCTTACTGCTGAAAATGGGATTGGTACTTGTTTAGAGTTTCTATTTTTACAACTTTTGCTTTTAGGTTTATAGTTTTATTAAGAACATACCAATAGCTCCACCACTATCTTTACCTGAGAAACCCACGTCTGTAGAATTTTCGATCGTTGACCTCCATATCCAGGACAAACCACCACGAATTTGGTCAATCTTTGTGTGTTTTCCCAACACATTGCGCATTCTCAGACTATGCTTGCTTTAACGCATGACGTAGAGGTCACGTGGTAATAATACAAGCATTTACATAAATATTATTCTGGAGGGAAACACGCACTCAAAACGCAATATAAACCAACCGATTGGACAACTGTCATCATTTTCCAGTTCAAAGGTATCAAAGGTATTTACGATGTTAACGCGTACTTATAACATGTATTAATTACTCCTAATATTTTATTTTTCAGGTTTTTGTTCATCATGAAGTATCTGCCATCAGCCCTCCTATTTGCCTTGAGCCTGTTCACTTTTGCTACTTGCCTCGACTTTTCCAACCTGTCAACATGGACAAAATGGGGCAGAGAAACGCAACTGATCATCCAGAATTTGCGAGTTTCACCTGTAGAATCTGTGAGTGTAAGGGATGTGGATAAACATGACTTCATGGAAGGAAATGGTCCTCGCGAAAAGTTCAAAGGAGTGTCTATTCCTGCGAAACGTAGTATAGAACGTACGCTCGAAATAAATAATTTTGCTACTAGGTGCCCCTTTACGATGGATTTAACATTTGCTGATGGAGTTACGGCCTCGTTTCACATTAATATGAAGTTCGCTCTTGGTGAGGGAGACGCAGAATTTAGATATGGTGGACCTTTTCCTATGAGTTATAAAAGAAGTGGAACTTTTCTAATTGTGGCACTAGGGCCATAAAAAGGTCTCATGCGTAACGTATTTACATGGAATATATTTTTAACGCTATGGCTTTGTTACCTTATACAATAAACTGCTTCTTGCTGGTGATTTGCTAAAGTCTGAGTTTTCATAAATGTTAAATTTGTTCCTTTTATACGTTATCTGTGACGAAATAATTTCTTATTTGTGATGTTTTATTTATATGTATTTTTTATTTATGTCGCTCTCTTATCAGCATTATTAAAGTTGTTATATTTTGTATACAAGACATTTGAATCACCCATCCTGACCAATACATTTGAATTTTATGTAGAGAAAATTTATAAGAGAGGCTCAATTGAATACTTAAGGGAACACAAATTACAGTAAGTCATGATTGTTCCTTTCCCCTGACAAACCCCTTAATTTTTTGAGCGAGAGGTACAGAAGATTCCTTCATTTTCAAAAATCCATTTTTTAGTAGGTGCTTAGTTTGGATAAAAGTCATCACAAAAAAGCATATACCGACTTTGATGAAAGGATTATTGCGGTAGCCTCAATATCCTATTCGTATTTCTTAAAACAAATTAAAACTGAAGTTTCCAACTTAAATATTTAAACTTATAATTGTTTCGTTAATAAACGATAGATTTCCAACAATTTGTGTAAGCATAATGAGCATGAAAATAGAGTTTTTCTCAAAACACCAGATGAGTTATTTTTTATAGTTCACTTTCGTTGTAATTCCCAGGATACATAATTCCATATGTATATAAAGTTATATACTTAATGTGGAAGAAATTCCAAACAAATGGAAACCTTAGAATGTTGCCCTAGAATTTTATACAAAAGTGGGTTATTCAAAAACAAGAAATGATAAATGTCATAAATGTCTGCAACCATTTGAAACATATGCTTCCATTTCTTTTGTTTAAGATAACATTATGTGTTTTAATTAGTTGCTATCAACAAGCCCCATATGCACTAGAACTATGTAAATTTATTAAAAAAATGAGAAATCGCAGCTTGCATCAATCGAGTTGTTGTCTCGAAAATCATGCAATATTCGAAATCGAGCACAAGACAGAAGAGCCCCACGATCGTCATTTTTGACTGATACCTGTAAGAAATGAATATCGTCTACGTGAATAATTCCAAATGAATTTGATAAAGCTGGAAAATCCGTAAACATGCATTCTGGGTACTACCGCATGAGATCGTTTCTTTTAGTGAAACATGAACCCCTTTTTTTGTTTGGCATGCTGGTTAGTCAGAAACGTGGAAAAAGATGTGATGCTTGAAAGAAACTGTACGTACTCTAAATAGATACAATACTGCTGTAGATGGTAGCAAATCTCACTTATTTTCTATTACACTCATATTATTACTTTGTCATTTTTTTGTAAAATAGAAAATAAAGTTTTTTCCTCTTGTGAACTCAATCCGGGACATACGTATATCACAAGATTTGGATATATTATTAAATAATTCACACATAAGAACTACTACTTGTTTTAGTTGCTAAAGACCCGATAAGACAAAAATTTCAGGAACTTTTGATGAATGGATTCCATATTTTTAATATAAATTTCATAAATTAGAAACCAGATTAATACTCCGTAATCAAGTCGAGATAATCTGACTAATGAATAATAAGTTATAGAAGATAGAGATGTTGGAAAAAATTATTACAGTTCCTCTAAATAAAACCATACATGCCAGAAGATATTGATACAATTCCTGTCATATGTTCACAATTTAGGAGAACTGTATCAATGGTATACGTACTTGAAGATAATAGGTTTCTGTTTTTTGGTATACGAAACTACAAAACATTTTAAACGTGGAATGCTCATAATATCCCCTTTCCTGTTTATGTTCATTAGCCAGGCGTTACCTAAATCCTTAACAGAAATGACACATTTTAACTAATTAAGATGTTTATGTTGATAATCCCTAACAAATTTTGGAATCGTGTAAAACTACGAGAAAGAACTTTACAATACTCGTAGATCTGGCATTATGCGATACAAAGATCATCATCTTACAGCATTTTTCAAAGTGAATTTACTACATTTGTTGATCATTTGTATGAAGCCGAAATTTTAAAAGTTCTAAAACGTAGTAAATATCCATTCGTTCGAGTAGATAGAATCCGGTTTTTTATTTAGGGATTGTGTATGTACTATTTAATTTATGTTTAGAAAAATCAATCTTTCTTGATTTATGGAAGACAATCAAGTCATAGACAATTAAAGTCAAATAGAATTGATTTATGTGGATTTCCAGAAGGCGTTTAATCGAATTGACCACTTTATTTTTCTTAAGAAACTTGAAGTAAACGGATTTTCCAAGTCATTTCTTGCATTATTTCATTCATATCTTTCAGACATAAAACAATGTGTAAATATATAGTGGACCAAGAGCTATAAGGTTATATGGCCATCATAAAATCATCCCATTGTGTCGAAGTTAAGTTGTTTACAACAGAAAATGTTTTAGGGTCGTAAATAATGAAACTAAATATGAAAATCCACCACTCCACTATTTCTTTACTACCTGCAGCCGCTGAGGGTTCCGAAATAACCACTCGCTTTGAAAGCCGGCCCTGTTAAATGTGAGCAAGAAATGTTTAGAAGACGATTTATTGCCAACCAGTAAGCTTAGTGCGAACCACACAAAGGGGGTATTTATTTGCGGTCAACTACTTTTATGATGGTCAATTAACCTTATACCTTTTGGACAAGTATAAAAATTACTTGTCTAATATACTCGTATACATTCCAACATCTGGAACTTTGTTGGATCAAAGGACACAGTGGCAACGAAGGAAACGAGAGGGCAGATGAGATGGCGAAGCGAGCCGCGCGCATGCCCTTCTGGGGACCCGAACCGGCAATCACGCCTTCGGTCGCCCTCTCGAACGAACTCGTAAAGCAATATACCCATAGACGCCATGAGCAGATATGGGCAACGTTGAGCAGCTGTCGGCATAGTAGAGCTTGTATGGCGACACCAGACCGTAAGTTGACGAAATTTTATCTCTCACTTTCAAGGGACAAACTGCGTAAACTGGTAGGATTCCTTACGGGACATTACCAGTTTAACAAACATCTATATACGATAGGGGTGGTAACAGACCCAATCTGTCGTGGATGCAATGAAGAAGAGGAAACAGCTGAGCACATTCTTCGTGAGTGTCCAGCCCTAGCCTCCTACAGGGAATCCATACTAGGGGACATCTGGCCTAGTATGGCAAATATCAGGGAGTTTCCACCCTCTGCATTACTCAAGTACATTCAAGCAGTTGGGTGGCTTGACGAGTAGAGGAGCGGGAAAACACCCTGATATGGACTTGGGGAAGGTACAATGGGCCCAAAGGCGAGGCCTAAGTGCCGGCTGGCCACGGTCAGCCCCCATAAATTAAGAATCCAGAATCCAGAATCTGGAACCACAAGAGTGCAACCCAAGGCCTTTTCTACTTCTTCTGTTTATTGACGACACCAAAGATTTCATCAAATCCATTACTCTTTTTACTGATGAATGATGATTTAAAATTATATTGCAGTAAAATAGTAGTTGAAAAATAAAATTTCTACTTCAAATACTTACGTTTATATTGATGTTTGTCTTTCTCTGGTTGAGTCAAAATGTTTTTAAGTAATAGTACATCGAGGTAATTTGTTTAACTGCTGCATTTATGAACATGCAACAAGTTAATAGTATTCCAAATTCCAGAGGTGTTTATCTTGATCTTATTTTTTCTAATATAGTGAATATAGATATTTGCCATGCAATAGACCCTATATTTTCTGAAAGTTTTCACCATTCTCAGTTATCGTGGTTTGTATCTTCTGTTGATCTTCCTATCTTATATTATGAATCTCGTATTTTTGACTTTACTAATGGTGATTATAATATGTTAAATGAATTTTTTGCTTCAGTTCATTGGGATTCCTTATTAATTAGTCATGACTTGGATGAGAATATTTCAACTTTTTATAATATTCTATTTTATGGTTTTGAGAGATATATTCCATATAAAGTTGTAAAATATAGTCCTTCTAATTACCCAAAGTGGTTTACTTTGGAACTAAAAGATCTATGTCGAAGGAAGAGTGAAGCGCATTACAAATATAAAAAATCAGGCAAATTAGGTGACTATCTCTATTTCAAATCTCTGCGATCTCAATGCAAAGAGCTTAATCAACAGCTGTATGCTGATTACATTGTTAAGGTAAATTTAAGTATCTCAAGTGATCCCAAATTTTTCTGGAAGTTCGTTCGGGACAAGAAGGCGAATGATGGTATTCCTGATGAAATGATACTTGGACAGCAATCGGCAAAAAAGGGTGAAGATATAGCTAATCTCTTTGCAGATTATTTTGCTTCGGTGTATGTTAAGGATGACTTTAGAAAATTTGTGTGTGATTTTGAGGTGTCACCTCAGGTTCATGATGTAGGTTTAAATATCACACTAACCGATGTTTTTGATCATATATCTGATTTGAAATCGTCTTGCAATCCTGGTCCTGATGGTGTACCTAGCATAGTTATAAAAAATTGCAAATTTACTCTTTCGTTACCTTTGCTAAATTTATTTAAATCCTCATTGAGGGAAGGAATTTTCCCGGAAATATGGAAAAGAAGTTTCGTAATTCCAATTTTTAAATCCGGTCAGCGTAATAAAATTGACAACTATAGGGGTGTATGTAATCAATCTGCAATTTCTAAATTACTCGACGGTATAGTATCCAAACAGTTACAGTGGAGTTCCTCTTCGGTTATTTCGTTTAAACAACATGGATTCTGTGTTAATAGATCTACGCTTTCAAATTTGTTAGAATATCAATCGTTCTTAAATGAGGCCTTCACGGATAGATGTCAAGTTGATTCGGTATATACTGATTATGCCAAAGCTTTCGACAGAGTAAATCATAGACTGCTTATTATGAAATTGCAAAGATTAGGTTTTAAGGATCTATCGATTAAATGGTTATCGTCTTTTCTGTTGGGTAGAATGCAACAAGTTCGCATTGGGAATTGCTTTTCTTCCTTCTTTAATGTTCCGTCAGGTGTCCCGCAGGGCACCCATTGTGGTCCTATCCTTTTTTTATTATTTGTGAATGATGTGACTCAATGCTTTAATTATTCGAATTACTTACTATATGCTGATGACCTAAAGCTTTTTAAAAATATACGATCGGTTCAAGATGCAGTGCAACTTCAGGTAGACCTAGATTCACTTGGCGA